GAGGAAAGCACTTCACTAATTGCAGTACCCATAAGGAGCTGTACAAATGCCACAGTTTTTGCGTGGCTGTGTATTTAGTTGAAAGCCCAGTGGCGATCTGCTCATCTCTCATCGAAATAATATGCTACAAAGGGGCGGACTGGCCATCTGTGTGTTACACTTTCCTGTCGGCTCCCAGACCGTAGTCGAGGAGGGCAGAAGCAACAAGCTTCAGGTTCAATAACCCACTTTAGCTTAAATGACTGGAGAGAGGCGAGCTCTTCTTGGGAGGCCGTTGCATTTATTTAGCTGTTCTTCTGTTTCACAAAATACATCACAGATCTCTGTTTTTCTGCTTTCCCGTTTCACTTCCAGAAACATATACACGTTCCCTCACTGTCGCTCTACCATCCACAAACACACATGCACAAGCCACACCCCTCTCTCTCTATCTCTCTCTCTTAAAAGGGACAGCGATCTCATCTCACTCTGCATGATCCGACGCGACCCTAATATCATAACATGTGTGCTCTGGAGAATCACAGAACGGACGATCGTCCTTATTATTATGCCGTTTAAACCAATTACTTAAATGTGTTTGTTAAATTCGGCATCGTGTATGTTGCGACACTGCTTCCCCGCAGCAAGGCTCCCCCGCCCTCCTGATGATAATTGACGAGCGTTAAGCTCCTCAACCCCCCCCCGTTGATAGTGCTCGATAGTGGGCACGCTGATAACAATTTTTTTTTTAAATGGCACTTCATATCATAAAGGTTGTTGACCCCTGCTACACACGATACGCTCTGACTTGGATTAAGGACGATGACTGTAGGTATGATTACAGACTGGAAACTCACAAAGAGAATCTAGCTGAAACGTGTTTGTAACGAGAAGGGATAGGACAATATAAGATTTTGTCACTATTAAAAACGGTCGAAAAGAACGAAAGAAATAGAGCCGTATACACTTTTTTAAACTAAAATGACCATATTAAAAAGGACAAAATCACAATGTTTGTATTTCGACCAACCGGGAGAACAAATGATATTGTCCGTGTTAATATAAATATACTTTTTTACTAATCTGTTGCTATTAATGTGCTTGTTGTCACTTTACCCATTTGTATGTATTGTCTTTTAAACGTGGTTATGTTTTATGTTGAACATATTAATATGGTTATTTATATTTATTCATGAATCGAAGCGTACCTCTGTGCTTTGGTCGGTGAGGTGGCGTCGGGGTCCTGCTGGACAAATCTCTGGGCACCGTGCGCCCCGAAATCGAGAAAGCGTCGAGCCAGGAGGGGAGGGTGGGAGCGGGAGGAGGAGGGGGAGGCGTCGTCCTGCCCTCCATCCCCCTCTTCCTCCTCCTCCTCCTCCTCCTCGCCTTCCTCCTCCAGGAGCAGCGGGGGGAGGCGGACCATGCGACCGGCCAGAGGGGAGAGCTGCGCCTCCCCACCATCACCCTCGTCCCGCCACGATTTAAAGGCAGGGACGGGGTCTGCAGAGAGGAGGACAGAAAGAAAGAGGTTAACGGATGTCAGGAGGGAGAGAGAAAAGAACTCATTCAATACTTAATGTTAATTATAAATAGCAATACACGCGAGGTACAAACAAAAGAAACACACAAAAGCTGCCTGTGAGCAGGTTAAGCTGAAACACTCAAGAACAAGTTCATTTTCTCATTGGATTCCATGCCAAGTCACGCCTTGCTTTGACCGTCAGTGCTATGCTAAAGCGCTGAGTCAAGCGGGATAAGGAGGAAGGAGAGGGGGGAGGAGGGTCACAGCGATAACGAGACAGAGGTGAGAAACAGAGAAGCAGAGTCAAGAAAGAAAACCATTTTTAGAGAGGAAAAGATGTCCGGATCAATCTGCCCAGTGACCCTGCACAGTAGGGAGGAGCAAAGATAAGAGGAGAAGAAGAGTTCACCAGCTTTGTTAGAAGAGTTTCTTCTAGGGATGTATACCAAAAACTCACGGTACGATAATATCGCGATAACAACTCCACCGTACGATATTTATCGCGATATTAAATTTTTTATTTTTTTTATTTTTCAACATTTTATCTGGCCATTTTTTTTAATTATTATTTGTACAGCATTTTAGTAGGATAGTATTATTTTAAAGTGTCCAAAATATAATAATCTGACCCTGCAATAAAATAAATCAAGTTTCACTTTAGTTTTTCAAGTAACTCAACTCAAACTCACTAACTAATTTTTTTGAAATATGAGCATGTCAACATTTCCAGGTAGAAGCTGGGATGTTTGGGCGTTTACAATATCCCCTGCTGTGGAAAAAAACTCTCTTACTTGGTACTGATGTTGCTGGGACAGAGAGATATGCTTTGGCCATGGGTGACAGCAGTGGGTCAAACTGTGCATTGTCTCTCCACCACTTCAAAAACAATACAGTTTTTGCCAAGAAGGTGAGGCTTATTGACAGGGCGAGATATAAATATACTGTTGGTACTTGTCAATGTCTCTAGGTATGTACATGTAGCCCTGTAAATACAATGTCCTTTTGTGTTATCTGTTGTTTTATGTTGTAACCTACTTGCTGCCATGTTCATGTTGTAACCTACACCTGGTTAAATAAAGGTTTTTAAAAAATTTAAAAAAAAAATCGATGTCACGATAATCGATATATCGTTACATCCCTAGTTTCCTCACATGCAGGGTTTTAGTAAGCATCAAAATCACACAAGCACATCGTAATATGTGAGCATTTATCATGTAGGCTTCAAGTACTCCAAACCAGCAACAAGAGAGGATGTAAGAGAGGAGAGGTTTGCTGGTGGAAGTGAAACTACTTACCATCCCCTTCTTTTTGCAGGTGCATACATGAGAAATCTATGGGAGGGAGGTGGAGATTGGAGGGGGGGGACACTGTGTGGAGGGTAGGAGGGTGAGATAGGAGAAGAAGAAGAAGAAGAAGTAAGGAGGAAGGGACAGGGAGAGAGACAGCAGAGACGAGGTCAATCGTTCATAACAACTCCAACATTCATTCAGTCAATCATACTTTTTAACAGTAACAAAGCAAAAACAGTTTTACTTTTATGGATGACACAGACATCAACTTTAATTTAGCAAAAACATTCATTAAAAAAATCATATTTTTATATGAGAACGGATGGTTTTACTGCTTTGCTTTTTTCTTAATCATTAAAACAACATGACACTTTCTCTCCTACCTTCCCATTGGTTGTCGGGGAAGAGCTGCAGTTGGGGTTTTTGGCCAGAGTTTGGTTGGCATGGCGACAGGTGGTTCCGGTTGGTGTTGCTGGTGTTGGCGTTTTGATCACAGCGGCATGAACCCGCGTCCTGCAGGAAGAGAGAGATTAAAGAAACAATTCAGGGACGGAGAGAATAAAGGGACACCATTTCAGATTAAAAAAAAGGTACAAAAGAACGGAGGTGGAAATGATTTAAAATATAAATAAAGGAGGATTGCACAAAAGAGAGACAAATAGTGTAACATCAACTTGAGGTTATATTGTTTCAAATGTTTTTGGGATCCTGAATGACTCTTTGTGCTTGTAATTGAGTTACATTTAAAAGAAACCTTTGGAAGTAAAACACATAATTAGATACAATAAATCCACTTTAGTGCTACTTACACAGTTTATGATGTCAATCTGAGTTTGCTCCATGTTGTCACAGGGTTGATTGTCCTGCCTGAAAACAAAGATAAGAAACTTAAGATGAACTAAATACTAAAAAAAACATTCAATTGGAGCAGGGCATGAGCAATTTCCCTAAACCTTTATGGGACATATATATATTTAGATATGGAGAACTTGTTAGTTATTGCTGTGTCTAATGCCTGACTAAACACTTACCGTTCACAGACCTTGGATATCCCTCGCTTTGAGAAAAACCATTTTTGAACTAGAATGACTTAATGAAAATACTTTTGAGAGCTTCAGCCATAATCCTTCCACCCTTGTTGTCTCCCTGGGACATTGTAGTCGCCTGTGGCAGATCCGAACAGCTGCGCAATCGTCAGACAACTAAAAGCCGTTCCACATTGTGAATGTTGTATTGTGCGAAAAACGTCAACTGTTGGAAAATCACTAATTTGTTACAACTAAAATCAATGTGGTGTCTAATAATCGTTTCATCCCGCTGATTAACTTTTACCCGTTTTTCCTGAATAGGTGTGAATGAGCATTTAAGCCTTGACTGCACAAACAATTTATACTGTGTGACACATCAACTGCGGTGCATTAACTTAACTTGTTTGTAAATTAAATTGTTAACGGCCCTAAACGAGAGGCATGATACAGTATAAAGTGTAAAACTGCACGATCACCGGACAGACTCAGATTAAGGATAAACGCTGAGGTAGCATGTCCAAGTGATTAGTAAACATGACGGGTCAAGTGATCAGTGCAAGACAATATCACTGCATGTTAAATAAATGGTCTCTGGGAAAGAGGAGAGTCCTATTTATAAGATACTGTTATTTATATAAAATGTATTTACTCTCCATAATGCATTGTGCGTAAGGCTACATGTAGCAGACACGTCCATCTATCTTTTTCAAATAAAGCCTAAATGTTTCTTGATCCCTTAAAATGTTGGTTTCCAAACTTCTATCTCTTATAACTTTGCTTGCATTTTCTATAAATAGGGTGAAAGTAAACTTGATAAAAGACTACCCCCCCCCACCTGGCAGTGTTGATGTTGTTCTCAGTGTCTCTGACGGCCTCTGCATCAAGGTCCATCCCCGAGCTCTCCTCTAGGGCGGCGCCAGAGTCCAATGGATCCTGGGAGAGAGCAAAAGGTACAATTTAAGAATGAATTGATTGTTTTAATGATTTCCCATTGGTCCTGCAGGGGGGGGCATTTGCCGTGCTATAACAGTAAACGTGCAACAACAGGACAAAAACAAGACATAATATATAAGTAAACTGCAAAAAAGCAACACTGTCAGATTTGGTTTAACTAAAAACGCAATAACTAAGAAAACAATTAGGTAATATATTTATAAATATATAGTTTAAAGTAAGGGATTAATAATCGATTTCACTCTTTAAAATGCAAACCTCCAAGTAAAAAAAAAAGTAAAGGCAAAATCACAATTTCTATCTTTTATGACTCCCCAAACAGCAACTGGTAGGTTTGATTTAATAGGCGGAATTAATACTATAGCAATTGAGATTACTTAGGGCTTTACACATCCAGATCAGTGTGTGTGTGTGTGTGTGTGTGTGTGTGTGTGTGTGTGTGTGTGTGTGTGTGTGTGTGTGTGTGTGTGTGTGTGTGTGTGTGTGCGCGCGCTTGTCACGAAAATAACATAGGAATAGAAATAAATATATATAGTTCAAAAGGAAGCAGGATGATTACTCAACATACGTGTGTGTGTTTTGTAGTTTGGCACACAGGTGCTGCTGTCATTCTGCGTCTCTTGGCTGATCTATTTAAAAACCTGGATCATTGTTTAAAGAGGTGACATGTTTCTCCTCGGTCCAGGACACACCTCACTGTCTGCAAGTTGTCTTCCTGCTATGTGACGCTAAAAGGGTCTTTGGAGAAATGCCACTGCGGCTCAAGGGGAATTCAAGGAGTGGTAGTGGCATGGAGGGGATTTGATTTCCGCTGAGACAGGGGTTACTAAAATGATAATGATGTAACAAACACTTTTCCCTCATGACAACGACTAGAAATCTAGAGAAACATTTGACGTTGAATCCAATTTAGGTCCTACCTTTTCCACCAAAATGTGGAGAATTTGGACCCTTCAGTTTGATATGATTGTAGAATTCCGAAAGTTACAAAAAGTGGACACTGCTGACCCTCACTGTATTTGTTGGCCTCATATCAATCCCTCATGTCTATAAGTAAGTAAGACAAAACCACTGCCTCTCTGTCTCAGCGTATTTGTTAATCTGTTGACCATTTGTAAAGCGGTTCAGTTGTCCCCTCTGCTACCCTGGCAGGAATCCAGCTATTGTAGCAGAACAAAGATGGACAGTGCTGATAACATCTAAACATTCAGCCTTGGAATGAACCGCTGACTGAAACAGGAAGGAGGTTAGCTATGGGAAATATGCTGCCAGCCAACACAGCAACTGCTGAGTGTCTGTGGACACTTTGAGAGGGAAATCTCCAGTGTGTGTGTGTGTGTGTGTGTGTGTGTGTGTGTGTGTGTGTGTGTGTGTGTGTGTGTGTGTGTGTGTGTGTACATAGCTGTTTTTCATCTATTAGGGTGCAGGCTTAACTGTTGATAGTTTGAGAAGTGTGTTTGAGAAGGTTATTTCATGTTTTTAGTTCTGATCAGTTTATTGGCTGTGGCTCAGTGGGTAGCGGCTGGGCTTCGAATCAGGGGATAGGAAGTTCGAGTCCCACTGCAGTCAGCATGTAGTTGTGTCCCTGGGCAAGACACTTCACCCCAAATTGCTCCTTTGGGGATTGTCCACAGTACTGAATGTATGTAAGTCGCTTTGGATAAAAGTGTCTAACAAATGACATGTAATGTAACGCATCAATAAATAGTTACATTTCAAACGTTTTAAACACAAACTGAAAACGTTTTGGAAGAAACAGTTAGTCATAAATTACCCTGTGCCTTTTCTTTGATGGTGCTTAGTTTGTATGTATTGACATAGTTTCTGTCTTATATTGTTTGTTGGTATTTATTTGTTGGGGTCTGATATAAGCGTTTTTATTAAACCTAATCATTTTTTTTTTCAGTCTGTTGCATTTTAGTCTTTAATTTCATGTATTTAAAAAGGCCCATGTGGTGACAGACATTACAAATCACCTGTCCCTATGTCAATAAACTTCAAATGAATGCGTGTGATGAATTTGTGTGTGTGTGTTTCCCCACGGACCTGGGTGTGTGTCTGACTTTGTTGCATGATCTGTTCGGTTTCTGAGAGTGGGGTTTCCCCCTCTGTGTCACAGGGGCTGTCCTCAGGGTCAGTTTGTTGATCCTCGAGTCCTTGGCAACCCTGATCTGCAGACTCACTGGGACTCACCCTGAAAAACAAAAATAAAAAACCTTATTAACTCAAAAACACCTTTGTGTCTGTATGGTGGTGGTGCATGCAAACATTAAGCCTCCCTTATGCAACGTTAAACCCCCGGACATGTTGTTTAGTCTGAGAGGTGAGTGACCGCTGAACAGCTGCTCCTCCCGAACATGTCGAGTTTGCTAATTAACATCACAGCTGTCAACATGTTTACTGGTAACCTGAACCATACAGCATTCTGCGGCCTTCGTACATAATGTTCAGTATGGCAAATATGGATTTTTAAAGTCTTACGACCACAGAGGAATCTGTGTAACGCACGCCAGCAGCGGTTGCACGGAACAGGTTGTTTTTTCAGTGTGAATATGATCTTATACTTGCTCCAAGTGCAATCAATTGTAATGTGTGTGTATTTAATGTATATGTGTGTGTAGACTGTCTCTCACCCTTGGCTGTCATAGTTGCTGAGGTCTTGGTCGATGGAGGTCTTCAGATCGAAGAAGTGCTGCTCCACTGCAGCCCTGATGGTGCAATGGATTATCCTGGGAAAACACAAAGAACACATGGTTTATTGATATGGGTTTTTTTTATTTAATTTTTACAGTGTTGATTATGCATTAGGTTTGATTTAAAACCAGTATTTTCCCCACATGATTTCAGATGTTTTGAAGTGTAGTACAGGGTTCTAACACCTGTTTTGAACAGTAAGGACATATTTTTTTTCTGACATTGAAATTCAGTGTTTTCCTTTATTAGGATAAGATGATTGGACATCAAACCCTGAAAATGTTATGTTGTTATACAAGTTGTATTTAAGATGGTCCAATTTGTTACGTATCAATCGCAGTCTGTGTTTAATACCCATGAACATGGAATGAGTTTAGTTAAATTGTAATGAGGGTGAACTGTAACAGCTCAGTTTGTCAGTGATTGTTTTTACAAAAGACCAAAGCCAAATGTTTCCCTTATAGTTACTTTACTACTTAGTATAAGATCCTGGGACTGTGTTTTCTCTGTTTAGCTAGTATTGGGACTTTTTGACTGTAATAAAACCCAGCAGAGCCAACAGAAAAGTCCAGCTAAATCCACATAAATTAACATTGATTGAATGTATCTGACAGTGCGGTATATACAGAAACTGTGGTACTTACCTATTAACAATGTCCTTTTTTAGCCCTTTTTTTATGTTTATCAATGTGAATTGTTTGAAATTGAATTCATGTCCCTTGTGTCAGACAATAAAGTTCATCTTTATCTGCTCTTAAAGGTTCATACAAATCAACATTTTCAGAGCCTAAAAGTCACTAAATTGGTTTATTTTCAGTCCTTATTAAGTCAAAAACCTGGAGCAGTTCTGAAAGGATTAACAAAGATTCAACTAGAAGCCAGGCAGGAGAGAGGAGAGGACAGTACGGACTATAAAAGGTAACGGCAGCAGTCACACTCTACTGAGATATTATTTAACTTGCTCGATCACGAGTGTGTGTGATCCTAGTATCACGGACTATCCCTCCCTTATTTATTCTGGCTTCCTGCAGCGTTTGTTTTTCCCTACAGCTTGGACAGCATCATAGGTTGAAGACTTGTTAGAAAAACACTAAGTAACTGGGAATAACACATAAGCAGTAAAAGATTATGTGCTTGCAGATTTCTTCTCTACTTACAAACAAAACACGGCCAAGAGAAGCAGTTTTTAGCTGATTTCATCCACATCTTGGCTAAATCATATCATGCCCCTCAACAGAGTATACGATTTTAGACACACTTGAGTAACCATAGGAAAGTAAAACGTTTATATACTCGCACAACACCCAGAAGACAGGTAAAGAATTCAATTAAAGCGACAAGTTAGTTTGGGATATTTGATAGTGATTCAGCCAATAATTAAGAAAATAATCATCATATTAGTTGATAATATTACATTACATTGCATTTAGCTGACGCTTTTATCCAAAGCGACCAAGAAGCTACAAACTTGAAGAAAACAGAATCATATAAGTACATCAGGTTTCATAGAGCCAAACCATTTCAAGTGATACTCATACTTATTAGTATATAAGTGCTTTGTTATTAATTATAATCGTCTCGAAATGTGAGTCTAAAGAGATGAGTTTTCATCTGTGCCTGAAGATGTGTAGCTTCTGCTGTCCCTGATGTCAATGGGAAGCCTCCATTCCCCACCATTTTTTGGGGAAAGCCAGGGGGGATAGCCCAACCCCGGTTAACTGATGGGAACTTGGGTTCCCCCCTCGCCAGTGGCGGGTTTGCCAGCGAGTCCTGTTTTGGCTGGTGCCAGAAAGCGGAGTGGCACCGGGTGCTGGGTTGTACGCGGTTTAACCAATGTCTGGGGGATGAATGAAGGCCCCCCCCAGAAATCCATCCGCCCAGCATGGTTACTGCCAATAAGGTTTGCCCTGTTATATTAAAATATAGAACTAACTGAACCCTCCAGTGGTTCCCCCGAGTTTTAATTATTGTGATCTGGAGGAACATCCTCCTGGCCTCAGCCTTTTTTAGTTTCCAGTACCAACTCAATAATTAAAGACCCATGGGAGAAACTAATTTGGAAATTATCCTTTGGGTCACGCCTTTGGTTGGAGAGGGCCGGACCCAAGTTCACCAATGTGATTTTGGGCCTGAAGTTTTTCCATGTCCTTTGGGGCACCCAAAAGCCACCCAAGTCATGCCAGAATGCCTTAAAGTTTTAACCTTTCCATAATGAAAAACCCAGGCCTGGCTTTTTTTCCTTTTATCCAAACTTCCTTAAAACCCTCTAACTAAATTTCTAAACGCTGCCCTCAATTCTTTTCTCTTACTCTGTTTTTAATTTTGTCTTGGAGCAGAATGGCACTTTCCACTTGCCCACTACAAAAGCCATCTAAACTTTAAGTCTTTGTCTCTCTCTTACTATTTAAAGTTTTCGGTTCCATTCTCTTTAAAAAGATTGGAAGAAATTTTTTTAAAATGGACCCTGTTGCCGTAGATGACTTTGCCATAGTTAGGCTTGGAAATTGTCAGGTGGATTTGGGTCCTGTAGGGTTTCCCTTTCAGATTTGTGTGTATAAACCGAAAAAGTGCCCCCAATGTAATGGTGGTTGGAGTGAATATTTGCCCGCGTTGTATTGGGTTGGTGTGTTTGTGTTTTGTGTGTGGTGTGGGTGTTGGTTGTTGGTTGTGTGGGTGTGGTTGTTGTTTTTGGTTGTGTTGTGTGTGGTGTGTTTGTGGTGTGTTGTGTTGTGTGTGGTGTTTTTGTGTTGGTTGGTGGTGGTGTGTGGTGTGTGTTTGTACTAACTGAAAGACAGAAGTCCAAGCCCCAAAGGGAGGATGGATATTGGGGAGGAAAGAGGTGAGTTGGTAAGAAAGAGAAGAATTTAGAGAGAAGGAAAGGAATTCATGTAGAACATCCCAAACGTCGGGACTCCCTTCCCAAAATTTTAACTGGAACATGAAATAACCTTGGGGGGGAAGGGTGTACGGGGCAGAAAGAGTTCCAAACAGGGGAAAAGAGGAAACCGATTAACCTTTTGAAAAAAACCAAAAGAAACCAGTGGGAATTCAGTTGTGGTAGAAGCAGATAACCAATAAAGTTGGGTTACAGTTTAATGTTCTCTTTGCCCCATTTGGGCTGCTAATCTTGGACCAAAAATACAACAAGTTTTTTTTGGGTAAACTGGGCGCCAACTCTGGGTGTGGCCAGAAATTGTTATTTAAGACTTTACAAGCTTCTGCCCTGATCAGAAGGGTGGTGTTTTCTTCTTATTTCCTCAATGGTTTTCCCCCTTTTTTTACCAAGAGCCGTGTGTTGTTGGTGTTGTGTGCCCAGTGGAAAAACAGGGGAAGGGCTTTGCCCCAAACCAGCCCTCACAAACCCACACCGAGGCACCACCGCTTCCCGAACTAAATACGCCTCACCACAGCACAAGGGTCCTTTTTAGGTTCCCAGTGGGTATTCCAAGAGTGGTTGGGTGAGTGAGCTCCTCCCCCACCAATTACCTATTAGACCCAGCAACTGAGTTAACGGCAACCCTGCCAACACCACCCACACACACACACACACACACCACACAAACCACAACAACCCCACACCACACACACACACCACACAAAAGAAAACCACCCACACAAACAACCCACAACACCAACAAAAAACACACCACACCACACACACACACACACACACAAAACACAACCACACACCACCACACCACACACACACAAACACCACACACCAGACCTGGATTTAATGGCAGATTTTCTACCTTCCAATACACAATAATCATTCTGATACTATTCCCTTTATATCACCCCTTGCCCATCAACAACCCACTTTCCCTTTTCTGCCCTCCATCCCTCCAATATTTCCAACACTTCATAGGTTATTAATACTTAAACTTGTTTCCTGGGTATGAACATGACACACATACACACATTCTCAACTTTAAACCATTTTCCCAATTCACATTTTTTTTGTTTAAGTACAATTTTTTACATTTATCAACAACCCACCTTTGTTTAATCTTTTTTTCTCAAAAGTTTTGGTCCTTTTGGCCCTATATTTTTTTTGGAAAAAATTGTTTTTCTTCCCCCATATCCTTTCTGTTCTTCCTTCCCAATCTTTTACTGGGTTTTTTGAATGCACTAGAAGCAGCAAACATTCCTTTTCCCTGACACTGTAAACCGGCCCTTTTGTTACAAGACTGGGCCTTGTTTTCTAAAAGACACAAAGGAAGGTCCGTGGGGCTGGAGGCAGTATATTTCAAGAAAGGTCCACGGCCGGCAGCCAACCATCGTGGTGGGTTTCCTGAAAGACTGTTGAAACCATATCTGGGTAATTTTGTTCTGCGTCCAAATCCCGGGGGTCAGGGTCCAACCCAGTGAAATATGACCCAACCATCCAATCCAGAGAGGGAAAGCCCAACATAACGTTTTGAAAAAAGTTCTGTCAATGTACCACCAGTTTTAAAAGGTTGAAAGAGAGGGGAAAACAAGCCCTGGGAATCGTTTGCCCCCCGAAGCCCAGGGGGCCGAGCCTTCTCGCCGCCCAATGGGCGGCCCGCTGGGAGAAAGCCCGCATTCCCCCCTGAAATCTCCCTTTTGAACGATTGGCTTAGCATCCGACCTCATCACCAGTAACCCGGCCTAATAATGGCTTTTATCTAAACCTCTTAGCCCTCCTGTTTGGCACCCCGTCCGGGTGTGGGTAAATGCCAAAACCATGAACCAACACGGAAAGGCCTTTTGGAAAAGGAGCCCCGGAAACCAAGAAGGGGCCCCCCCCCAACTGGGCTTGAGGGGCTAAACCTCATCCTGCAAGGAAATCCCAACAGATGGCCCCCAAACATTGGGAAGCCCCAAGCCCTGGTTGTTACAATAAGGAATTAAAGCTGGTCATGCGGTGGATTGGGGATTAAAAGAGGCCCCT